TATGATTATTTAAAGAATGAAATGAGATTAAGCTAAAAGAAATACATAGAATCATTACCAACAAATATAAATTACATAATAGCAAATTGTACTGTACGCCTATGGAGACCAACTTAAAAATTGAAAAAGCTGAGATAAATAGAGAGGACATTGGATACAAGAATTTAATTGGCGCATTGCTGTATATTAGTGTAAATACCAAACCCGATATAAGTTATAGTGTGAATTATCTGAGTAGATTTCAAGATTGTTGTAACGAGACACATTTTAAATATGCCTTGCGAATATTGAAATATTTGTACCGAATTAGAGATTTAAGATTACATTATAAAAGGAATGAAAAATGCGAAACGATAGATTTTTATGTGGACGCTGATTGGGCAGGAGATCATATAGATAGGAAATCGGCTTCTGGGTATGTAATTAGATTGTATGGAGATGTAATTGGATGGAAGTCTAAAAAACAAAGGTGTATGACAAAAGCCTCGACGTATGCAGAGTATGTAGCTCTATCGGAAGCGGTGAGCGAAGTAATGACTATCAGAGAACTAATGAAAATTTTCGATGTAAATATAGACAATGTAAATATAGACGATGATCCTGTAAAAATCTATGAGGATAACTCTGGAGTAATGAGTATAGCAAAATACGGAACTTTTACAAAAAATTCTAAACACATTGAAGTTCATTACCACTACGTTCACGAGTACGTAAAGGAAAATAAGATAAACATAATAAAAGTAAGTACAGAAGAAAACACTGCGGATATTTTTACGAAGGCACTGTGTAGAGAGAAATTTGAAAGGCTTAGGTCATGGATGAATGTAAAATAAGAGAAATGTAAATAAAGCGATAAATGTTAAATATTTTGTTAATTCGACAAGTATGCAAATAAAATTAAGTGTACAGTATAAATGTAAGGAGGCGTGTTAGGGAAGTGATACATTTACACTGAACATGAGAGTGTGTGTGTAAGGGTCAGAGGGCGTCAAGGTCTTAGTGGAGACGAAAGACTGTTGCCAAATGTTAGAAGAATCTAGGATAGTCGGTTGCCGACAAGCGTGCGTGCAAGACGTTCTTCAGAGTGTAATATAGATGTATAGCTATTGTGTGTGAAATATAATCAATTATTTGTATTTCCAAATCCTCGAATTTCCTTAACACATACTTCGCCATTCCTTCGAACCAGTAATACTCGTACAGTTTCTCATGCGTTTTATCCCAACCTAAGTGCATAGTGGACTGGTGCACATAGTTAATAACAGACCACCTAAACCCTCTCGGAACGATGGGCAGGCAGAGTGTTCTACCTTTTCTCTGTATTTTACGATGAAGGGTGCCGGGCCGTAACTCATACGTATTCGCGACGTCTTCCGCGAGCTCTTCGTTCTGTAATTTATCGACGATCTCAGAAATTTGTGGGTCGCGACGTTGTTCCGCTAGTAGCCAATCGTCGGAGACTTCGGTTAGGTTAATTTCTTTCTCTACAATTTTGCTGAACATGCTGCGATCCAAGTCTACGGGATTTCGCGAAAAGAAATCTATGTGGGCCATTCGTTTACCTTCCCGGTACATAATGTCAAAGGTAAAAGTTTGCAGGTAAGCCCACCATCTGTAAACCCTGTCGTTCAAGTGTACCTTATTACTGGATGCTTTCAGGGAGTTGCAATCGGTGACAACAAGAAATTCTCGACCGTGTAAGTAATGACGGAAGTGCTTGACGGCGTTTACAACTCCTAACGTTTCCAATTCGTAGGAATGATACCTAGATTCCGCAGAGCTAGTTCTTTTGCTGTAATACTCCACTACTCGATTTGTACCTTCGACCCTGTGCATTAAAATGGCTCCATAGCCCTCCGAGCTAGCGTCCGTATGTAGTTCTATGGGGTAATTGGGGTCAAATAGCGTTAGCACCGGCGCGTCAGTATGTAATTAGAAATTCGAAAGGTTTAGGTCATGAATGAATGTAAAATAAGAGGAATGTAAATAAAGCAATAAGTGTTAAATTTTCTGTAACTTAATTCGAAAAACATGTAAATACAATTAAGTGTACAGTATATATGTAAGGAGGCGTGTTAGGCAGATGATACATTTACATTGTACATGTGAATGTGTGTGTAAGCGTTAGAGGACGTCCAGGTCTTAGTTGAGACAAAAGACTGTTGCCAGATGTGAGAAGCTTCCAGAAGGGTCGGTTGACAACAAGCGTGCGTGCAAGAAGGTTATCAAGGTCTTCAGAGTGTAATATATAAGTATAGCTGTTGTGTGTGAAATGAAGTAAACTATTTGTATTTCCGAATCCTTTCTATATCTTAACATATATACAACTAACATATAACATATATACTTTTAGCATGGTTGCTTAACGTTATTTCATGAATGTATTCTTCCAGGTAACACAGGTAACAAATTGATACAAAGCAACGAGCGGTTCTTCTACATGTTTAACAAATTGTATATTATAAATGAGAAGTGAAATATACGACAGAGCAACAAACACCATGCAAAACTCTAAAAATTCCATATCATTTGAAAATATAAAAAAACAACTCAAAAAGTTTACAAAAATCACCATGAATTGTTTAAAGTAGAAATATTTGTATCCAATTCGATGGAAAATATCGTAGAATCAATTGCGATCAGTACCCGGTGTGAGAAGCAGTCAATGGTAGTAACTAGTAAAACAGAAGGAAAACGTGACTATCAACGGTGCTTACATACGCCGAAACACTGATGCGATGAACGCATTTTTTGTTCTTTTATGATGTATATTGGCTTGCATCGATGCAGAAAGTAATATTATTTTCTTAATTGGTAGGAAAAGCCATTGGGTATATATTAAGTATATATTAATATACTGATGTCATTTCACGAGACTTTGGAGTCGATGCGTAGCGTCATTACGATACTTTTCAGCTATACAGGCTGCTCAACGAATTTTCTAAGTTAGACTATACTAGAATTACTGTCCCGATGCTGTTCGGGCAGTAAGGGACATATGCAAAATTCCTCCCTTTCACTAAGTTGCCAATTTGTATAAGAATATATATACACGCGGGTAAACGCACACCCGTATCTGTGCCTCGTTATAACTGTGTGCGGAAAAATTTTGTATATAAACTCACAGCAGCAATATTTTTCATAACGCATACAGAAATTTAAACCTGGGCATAAGGTTACACGAGCGTTAAAACGGACATACGTTTCATAGTCATTTCGTACGTACGTAGAAGTCACGGCATACAAGCGTCGTCTGTTTTGCAGAGCTGGCGGAACAATTACTTACGCCCTATCAGTGTGCTGACACGCAGATGGTCGAAGCGCTAAATTTCTAGTTCTCAAAAATAGCGATTGTTCTTGACTGTGGCGTAAACCATGCTTAACCATTGTGTTGTAAAACTCCAATAATATTTCTTTTTAATCTGAATCGATATCGAAATGCGTTAAAAACTGTAAATAATTTGATTTATACAAATGATTTTTGCAATAACAAATGATTTATAATAAACAAATCTGAAAATCTTTGCACAAAATAGGAAAGTTTTCATTCCGATACAACTATTCGCTATAGAATAATCGCTGGACATACTTAAAAAATACGTACTCGTCGAACTGATAACGAATAACCAGCGATACGTTTGTGTGACCTGCTCTATTTAAAGTTATACGTTACAAAACGTCTCTTTTGCTAAGATCCTTAATAGACGCACCTTGGTATGTTACCAACGAAACCATCCATCGCGACCTCAAGATACCCACAGTCAAAGAGGAAATAGCAAAATATAGCGACAGATATAGCAAAAGAGTCAACAAACACCGAAACCCCCTAATCACTGGACTACTTGATACGACGGACCAGATTCGCAGGCTGAAGAGGCACTAACCGCTAGACCTAAACGCTAGATTCATTTAGTTATCCAAATTAAGCATATGCACTTACTTATAATACTTATAAATTATACCTATCTATAATAAGTACTAACTTATTGTAAATAAACAGCCATGTCGCTTCGCCACGCCAAAAAAATTACTGAAAATTCTCAACGCGAGAATTGATTGTAATTTCAACAAATAAATAAAAAAAAAAGAAAAACTTTCTAAGGACTATTGTCTACCACGGCTGGACAAGGGAAAGTTAGGTTTTTCCACGTACGATGCTTCCTAATAGCAACTTTCTATCGAGGGCTGCTAAGACCCTTCCTAGTCCACCAACTTTCGTTTAACCAATTAACAACGAATCCTATTTCCTTCACTCTCTTAGCCAAAATCGTCACCAACAAATCCGATGGTTCCGTGCGCTAGACGCACCCATCCTTAGCTTTGCTCCGGTACAGCATCGTCACCGAACATGACTGATTTTCCATTCTTCAAACAGTCAACATTCCTTCGACCGGGTTGATACCCGAAGATCAGTCACTCACTCATCTTATACATATGCACCAGCGTAATTATTATCTTCACAAAGTTGTTGGAATAAACTGTCATTCACACCTTGTTACATCAGTGTCATATTCAATTAACCACCTCTATTATCCTAATCGAAATAGGGGATCGATCATTTCGTGGCGTCGATTATCTAATCGTGACGGGAATTTACGACTCCCGTTGGCGTGCTTCCTCGCGAACGCGTTTCTCCGCGAGTGGTCGAAGAAATATTCTATATATTATTATTATATATTATTATATATATTATATAATATTTATTATTTACAGAATAAGTATTTATATCAGTATACATAGACGAGACGTAGAATAAATTTTAAATAAATAAAAAACACGTTTATCGCACGTCTGGGGGCATTGGAAACCTTTACCATTTTAGTATTATTCCAAATGTTACCGACTCAGCGTCTCGATAATATTATCTCTTCCCTTCAGCACATTATCCAGTCCAGCACATTGTTAAATATATAGGTATCTCCTTTCCATAACACATCTTGGATAACAAGCTTTTGTGGCAACTGCATATCCGGAGATATTTACTTGTACTCCAATGATGTGAGGTCAATCGAGCTGAACACTTGATCGGCATGCGGGCGTTCACAGAGTCTTGTCCTAATAGTAACAAAAATAGAGGGATATATGGGACTCTCTGAGAGGTGGTGCTCCATCTTTAAAACCATCTCAATTTCTGGCATGGATTTTTCTGGCAAAACTCATCCTGGTAATCAAGTGATTACTACCTAGCGAAGCTACAAAAGTATGGATTGGAACACACAACAATACTCTATTGAAAGTACAACAGGTTTTCTGTGCTAAGGAAAATCAAAACTGGTGTTTTCTCGATAATGCCTAGACTAACAATAGAGTGTTTTTTCTCGATTTTGAACTTGAATATCTGATGACGAAGATGAGAGCTTGCTGAACTATGCTTCTCATTTAAAAGATAGACAGAGCCACGTTACATTTCTTTAACCGGTAGGGAGTACCACGAATAATCTATACTGGATGAAGAAAAGGCGGCTCTGAATCGGCGTTTCATCAAATACTTAAAATAATAACTTAAAACAGTCTTGTTACATTTAGACTTCTTCAGAACATGGTAATGGCAGTGGAATTTGAGCTGATGTAGGGTTTTCGTGATAGACCAGCGCGGCTTACCTTGAACAACCACATAAATAAATTGGCGAAGGTGGGGATTTATAGTACCTAACTAGATGAGATAACAGCAGGCCTCGTGTCACGACGTCCCACGATATTCCACGACGTCCCGCGACGTTCCACAACGTCCCGTGACGTTCCACAACGTCCCGTGACGTTCCACGACGATCCACGACATTCCACGACGACCTGCGACGTTCCATGAGGTCCCAGGACGTCCCATGACGTTCCACGACGTCCGACGGCGCCCTCATAGGGGGTTATTAGTCCAGTCTAGTTCATTAAACAGTTTTGGATGATCTAGACTAGACTAAACTATTAAAGTAGCTTTTAGCTTGATATATCTCAGAATTATTAATATATATTGTTTACCAATAGCAATCGAATCCTAATATTAAAATTAACGTTACATTTCGAGAATAGTACTTCATCTATTATTATTTGGGAAACGATGGCATTTACCTGATCCCATCACGGGGAGGTAACAACGCTCGGGTTCTATTTACGTAAAGAGTTTTTAAGCATCGAAGGCAGAAGATGTAAAGTTATTTGATAGCAAAGAAGTAGCGTGTATTGAAATTTATTAATTAGAATAGGTATAGTATGTGAATCCACATAATCATATTTGAACATTGAACTTACCATCGAAGAAACCAAATCGATTAAATTGCATTTGCTTCTTCAATTCCGTGAATGCGATTTGTTTCCTTGGTTTTGAGTGAGTACGGAGAATTACATTTCATCTATAGACACTCTACAGTTACACTTTGCATTAGCACTGATTTTATATGAAATAGTTAAGTGAAAAATTAAATACTGTGTTTAAAATTAAAAGATAAAACTAAATGGATACAAAATACCAAAGACTCAAAAGATTTCGTTAATACTAAAGAAAACAAAATAAATCATTAATTTAATCGCTACGAGTTGGTGGTATTGATTTAAATGAATAGTAGAATTGCTTCCGATTAATGGTATAAATTAAGAGCATAATTATTTTAAATTAATGGGAGGATATTGCTATAAATTATTATTTTAATTGTTAAAAATTAATGGAGTAATTGTTTCAGGTTAATAATATATTGTTATAAATTAATAGTTGAACAGTGAGGAATTAATAGATAAAACGTTGTAAGTTAATGGCTTAAATGTTGTAAATTATTAATTTAATTGTTACAATTTAATAATTAAATTATCAATAAGTGCGTAAAAGTTCTATTTTGATCTACACAATACGGCAGATCAAGAAAAATGAGCTCCCGCGCGAGTTGGAGTTCTTTATACAACTCGTACAAGTCGTAGAGAAGAA